AATATTGGTAGTGCCACCTAATGTTTTCCATTTTTCTTTTCACTTAACATTTTATTAAGGCATGTCGTGTAGCATTTATGTGATTATAATGTTTATAATTAACTTGTAGTTCCTGCTTTCCAAAATTTAATTACCTCTAGCATTGGTAATGTTTATCCACGAATGTGTAGATAGGAGTGTAAGTAGAAGCCAAAATTATTCTACAGGTTAGTGAAAATATTAGATCTCACTAAGAAGGAGACCGAAATGTTAATTTTTTTTGTTGTCAGATGTCAACTATCTTTTCAAACTAATTGTAATGTAAGTTTGGTGCAGTTGTGCACACACCATACTTTAGAGCCCATCGTAGAGGAGACCATAAAGCATATTGGGTTAACATAGATGTCCCTTTATCTAACGAGCAACAATACATTCCAACATGGTATGTGGAGGATTGAGAAGCATGGCATCTCAATCTAAGACTAAAGAAGAGAGCGTTTAAAGAGAAAAAAACTAATGGCACCATTAAGCAAAGGTGCATTGGTGCATCTAAAGATGACGAAGTTGAAGTCACTCCAGCTACTCAATCTCAACCCGATGATCAAACGTAAATGCCACCACCTTTTCAGATGCATACGTTGATACCACCTCCTCAGACGCACACTATAGCCCTAAAAAATCGGTTGCTTGTGATCGTTGCTCCGTTCACATTGCCCAATTGTCGGTAAGGATGGCTCTTTGTATACCCAACAATACCATGTTTTACTATCGACTAACATCTTATTTTCTCTTATTGCAGCTGCGTAAAGGGAGGGCAAACGATGACAATGCAGTCACAGTGCATCACTTGAGACGGGTTGTGGCAACCTGAGGTGGGAGTGGTAAAGGGACCCAGGCAAGTAGAGACGGGAGTGGCAGAAGGACCTGCACTCAATGGAGGATCGAATTGTATGTCGACTTTTTGGCATCAACTTCGTAAAATTATGATCTTTTAGCTTCTGTCATTTTTTTCATGTAGCATTTAGGAAGTTTTTGAGTTTGTTTAGTGTTTGTTCATGTATTTCTAACTTATTTGCTATTCTAATTTCTCTCATTGTGTAGGGTCTATCGATCAATATGTTGGTGTGCTTAATAATGATTATCATGAGGATGATGTTAGTATTGATAGGGAACACAGTGGTGGTGATGGTGATGACCACCATTGAGTTGATGATCTTGGAGATGATGATCGTTGTGTTAATGAACATGTTGACCAAGGTGTGGGAGGTGTTGGGAACCCTAAGGCGGTTGATGAATAGACAAGTGATGAGAAGCCAACTGGTGCATATTCACCCATGGTGCTGACGTGTTACAAATGATTGTGTACATCCCTCATGCTCAAAGCACACATCCTCCTTAGACCCCTTATCCAATTCTCAGCATATAGCGAGTTGATACCACAATAGTGAAGTAGCCTCATAGTAACAAGTCACTGACATCTACAACTAACTCGTCTAATGTCTAGCGTGGCGTGACATTAAATGGAGATGTGACTGAAGTGGCATCGATGAAGTGACTGAAGTACAAGGCCAGCTTGTACGTGGACCTATTTTCACTCTCGCGTAAGGGTAAAGCATCGATGAAGAAAATATACGAAGAGTTCAAGAAAGACCCGACCGTTGTGTAAGCTAAAAACATTATATTTCATCCATTTGTGTTTCCAAACAATTGATTTTAATGACCTTTTGACACCAATATTTTATATGTGTAGGTGTAACACTGGCATCAGCAGGGAGCAAGGGTCAACATTTTCATGAAATTAGAGAACCTCAAAGTTTGGATGACTAAATAACACATCGATGCATGCCTTAGCATCTTGTGTAAATGTCATGATGGCCCCAACAATGAGTCGTTCAAGTAACGTGTAGCATTATTGACATAGTATTCTCCATAAGTTTATTATAATGACTTTCAATTATGAAAATATGTCAATGTTGTTTAATTCATGGCGTGTAACAACTGAGAATATGATTGACAAGACATGGTCTATCTATTGTGCACTGAAGAAGAGGTCACCAACATTGTGAAGGTGTTCGACTCAAAGAATAAGAAAATTCCACGAGATTTGTGATCTTGTGTGAAGAGTGACAAGCCTTTGTGGGGCACAAAATGAAAAGACATTGATATGATCCTCGCACATTGCAGTGTTGGTGACCATTAGCTTGTTGTGCATATCAACTTAGTTGGGTAGGAGATTCTGAAATCCCACCATATGTAAAAAGGTAAGTTAAGAAACCCTTAGGTGAGCATACAGATTACATATTTTGAATATAAAACTCATTTCTAATCTTCAAAAGAATTGTTTAGCTGTTTGTCACTTTTGAAGCAAAAAATTTTCTAAGTTTGGAAAGAGTCAAAATATGTGATTTTTATAAAATAATCTTTTGGAATTAAAAAATGACGATAATAATTTTCTTGATTTTTAGATGATCAAAAATAATTTTTTCATAATTTTTGGAGTACGATTGCTATGGTAAATGAGAACCATAAATTTAAATCTAATAAAACTTTTTCGATTTGGTTCTTGAAACCAAAATTTAAACTTTGATTGGTTTGGATTTTGATTTTTTTTTTATATTTTTATTGAATCCTAATAGGGAGTTGTTTGCATATTTACATTAAATATCTTAAGTAAATAGGGAGTAAAAAATAAATAGGGCATTTACTTAAATGGTATTTAATGTAAATAAGTTTTGTAGGCTTTTATGGACAATCTACTTCGGAAGCTGCATTTTATCTCAAATGTATCAATACATGTTCATGATGTATCGATACATTTAGCACAGAAAAGGTTTTTGATGAACATGTATCGATACATGTTCATAATGTATCGATACATGTTCATAATCCATATTTACTACTCAAGTGACTCAATATCAACTAGTCATGCGATTCTAATCTTAACGGTTCACGCGATTCCATATTTCCTAGTTACGTGAATCCAAATCGATTAGTCACACGATTCCATATTAACTAGTCATGTGATTCCAAATTTAGTAGTCGCGTGATTCCATATCAAATAGTCGAGTGATTCAATATCAACTAGTCACACAATTCTATATCCACCATTTACGCAATTCAATATCAATTAATTACATGACCATGTCACGCAATGCAATTCAACATGTCTTATAGGCTATAAAGTTAGGGGGTTCGCATATGCAAACTCATGAACTCTAGCATGTAAATTGCGTAAAACACTAATAGAATTTACAATATGAATAAAAAAAAACAATGTTGTTATTGGACCCGTATGCTTGTCACATCACCATCACTTAAGAACAATGATACAGAAATGCAAAAGCTAACAACAAAAGATTTAAAGTATAAAAAAAGAAAGATGAAAAAGAAGAAAGAAGAGTCATCCTTATAATCATCCTCCCATACACAAAAATGAACAAATGGAGAAAAAGAAAAAGAGAAGTGGACACAAAGCTATTTTGGTTTTTTATGAGTTTTTTGTTTTTTTTTCTTTCTTTAGTTGGTGGGATTGCTGCAAAAGATTTCCAAAACCTTGATAACTACAGCCCTAATGATGTGGTAGTGGTATACAGTTGTTGCAAAAACTCCGACAAAAGGAACAATCCAAAAAACTCAAAAAAAAATATTGTTACACACCATGTTCAAAAATTATTGTTGTATATTATGTTGAAAAAAAAATTACTACACGTCATATTTAAAAATTATTATTACACATTATGTTGAAAAAAATATGTTACACGTCATTTTTAAAATGTTTAACTCTAAAAGTTTATGTCTTAGTGAAATACAAAGAAGCCAAGTTACATGCCATGTTAAAAAAAAATTTGTTACGCTGAAAAAAAAATTATTACACATTAAGTTTAAGGTGTTTAACTTTAAGAGTTTATATTCTAGTGAAATACAAAAATATGGACCAAGTTATAGGCCATATTAAAAAAAAGTTACATTGAAAATAAAGGTTGTTACATGCCATGATTATAGTGTTTAATTGCAAGAGTTTATATTTTAGTGAAATACAAAAATAGAGACCAAGTACCATGTTGAAAAAAAAAATTGATACATGCCATGTTAAAAAAAAAATGTGTTTAAGGTGTTTAATTCTAATAATTTATGTTCTAATGAAATACAAAGATAAAGACCAAGTTACACAACATATTGAAAAAAAATTATTGCACGTTATGTTGAAAAAAAAATTATTACATAGTGTTTAAATTAGAGAGTTTATATTTTAGTAAAATACAAAAATAAAAATTAAGTTATATGCTATGTTTAAATCATGTAATATTTAATAGATTTGTTGCAAGCCAAGTGCATTAGAGTTGTTACATGCAAATATGGCATGTAACAATTTGCATGTAACAACTTTGAGCAGTGTTTTAATTTACAAATTTCACTTATATAGCTTTAAGTCATCAACTTTGGATTCTGTGAATGTAAATCAATAAACCCAAAAACATGTATTGATATCATCTCTATTTTTTGCTTTGTAAATCAATGACAATATGATGAGAAATAAATAGAGATAGTGATGGTAGTAAAATTAGAAACAGCTGGATAGTTGGAGAGAGAAATTAAGAGCATAGTAAATGGATGCGGGAGAGAGAAATCTATAAAATTAGAGAAAGTTAGATGGTGAGAGAGAAATCAAGAGCACAACAGATAGATGACGGAGAAAGAAATCAATAGGGAAAATTGTGATAAATGGTTTAATTTATCTGAAATGGCTTCAAGAAATTTTTGTCAAATAATGAAAAAATTAAGTAAAAATAGTTAAATTTATATTAAAGGTTATTTTTGAAATGGCGTTACAAAATTGACCATTTTTCATAATTTCCTATTTTAAAATTTGGTCATCGTGCATCTTAATTCGAAATTGTAATTTTATTTAATGAGTAGTATATTTTAATATATATACATATATATATGAATAAAAATATAAGTACATGGACGGACTATGCTTAAGTTTAAAAAGGTTAGGCCCGGTCAAACTCACATCAAGGTCAAGATTTTACCTGGTCTCTGGCACTGGTCTGGCTGTAAGGAGAGTTGGAGCTACTCCCAGTATAAAGAGAGAGAAAGCCAGATGCACCAGAGGATCATTGTCCTCTCCAAATAGCTCCGAAGCTGAAGTTGGAAAAACTGTACATTGTTAATCCACTCCGAGTCTGTCATGGTTCCTCTCCAAGTAACCAAAATATCCCTCCTTCCCAGAATAGCCTTTCCTTCATCTGTGGTCACTGCCACATAGCCAAACCAAGCGGACTGTACAATATCTGAGGCGGCATAAAAGAAGTTGGTCACGCTGTACTTGAACTGATTTCCAATTTCGAGACCTGCCCTGGAGAAAAACTCATCTGCTGGATATAGGCTATGTCCAAACCCCCTCGATGCCTTTGTATCATTAAAGAGATCTCCAACGGCTCCACACCTGTCACCATAGTGAATTATATAGCGGCGGAGGTCAAGATCGAGAGGATGCAATATATCCTTCCAATCATTCTTTCCACTGAGATCCCTCCAGCGAGATGCTATAGAGTTACCCATCACTATTTTAAGCTGATCGGTACTCCTCAAAACCCTTTTGTGATTTCTGATGAAGATGCGACTCCCAACAACTTCTGCGTGCTTCATATACAGCACTCTCCCCTTGAAAAACCGATATTAAACTAATGGTTTGATAAATACCGAGAACATTTTAACATGCAAACATTTGTTCATTCATACTTGTTTAGTAGTTGTTTTGGCTTTTTCGATGCCAAAGTCCATAGTAGGATAAATATCCACTCTTTTTTCCTTCACTGAAAGACAAAATAAACCTAATATATTAATAGAAGATAAACATATCTTCTCATGTCATTGAATATAGCCATGAGCCATTTGATTACGTTTGTGTTATTTTTCAGCATTTTTACGACCCCAACTCCTTAACAGGAGTGTTGCCTCTACAAGTCAATGCAATAATTGATACAAGTAATTATTTCTAAAATGAATTCATAAGTCATACTAAACTTGTATCTCGTGAATAACAATTTAGAATTCAATATTAACTGAATGAAATTTTAAAGTTGAACGGTTGATATGTTTTCTTGGAAAATGAATCATGATATTTATCATAACTAATAAGCTCATTCAATCATTAATTATGAACTCGTTGACAAAAGATGTTGTGAATTTAGACTTTCCTCTACTTGGAACTACATTACTTTGCCACACTATTTTATTTGGAATGAGTTTTTTCTAGTTATTAATTATTTTGTCTAACATGCAATTGCACTACACTAGATTTGCTATAATTTAATTGTATTTTCTTTAAATTTAGTTTTTAAAACTGTTGCATTTAAATGTGGTGTGTCCACATAGCATGCAAATGTATTAATTATTTGTGGATAATTAAGTAATATTCAATTGATTAATATTAGATATTGTTCTGATATAACTTAATTGAATGTTTGAGATAGGATATAAATTTAAATTTAATTTGTTTAAATTTAAATTATCTATCCATTATATTTAAATTTAATTTGTTTAAATTTAAACATAATATCCTATCTCTATATCCCTAATACGTCTATAAATAGTGCATAAATGTACTAGTTTCAAAACACAGAAAAAGAGTGAATGTGAGTTCTTCTGTAAGTCAGAAAAACCAGAAAAAAAAACTTTTTTCTCTTTTTCTTTCTCTTCATTCTTGAGACACCATCAAAGGCTTTGAAATGTGTAATTCCTTGTGGAAGACTCTAGTAGCTACTCTATCACAACGAGAGTGAAGAAATTGTTGTGTACACGAAGGAGGACTTGTAAAGCAAGCTTCTTCGATCAGAAAAGGAGTGGAATATTTATCTGAAAAGGTAAGCCCACTTTCCTACAAAATGCTTTGAAGATAAAATGCTTTGATTTCCGTATGTAAAAGAAAAAGGAGGTTGTTATATACCTAGCTTAGCACATGTTTTTGGTTTTTTTTTCTTTTCTTAATCTTTGGATATGCAATGTTTTATTTATCTAGAAAAAAAAAACAAATTGACATAAAATTAGCAACTAAACAAACATGACATGAAGTATTTTTTTTTAACTTGTCAATTACTTTGAAGTGCTCCAGGCCACTTATCTCTCCAAAGTTGCTCATCCAACATATCGAAAATGATTCACTGAAGTTCATTTGGAACTAACTTAACATGTCATAAAATGCCAAAAAAAAAGAAAAAATTATCAATGTTTGGAGTAATCTCAGATTTTGTTAATAATATCTCAAATAGGGTGAGAAAAAGATATTTACAGAAAATTTTTAAGCATCATGGCAAGGTGATGTTAGTACAAATGGAGTTTAGATGAAATTCAAAGAACCAACAAAATTGAATTTAAGATTAGCCTTTCACTATATGCCATCTTTAAGGCTTATTTCACCTCCACCACTTGATATATAAAAAGGGAATTATGAGAATAGCATTAGGGATACAATAATGCCAAGGTCTAACTTCACCTTTACAATTTATAAGAGTAGATCGCTAAATACACCTAAGGGTTTGTAAAGTTGTTTAGGCTTAGAGCTTACTTTTTATAGCAAGTAGATTATAAGGAATTTGAACTCTTTTGATAAATGATGAGAACTTAAGTGTTTATGTTTATTTTTAGACAAAACACTTCTTTGGCTCTTGAATTTTCTGCTCTTGTCTTATTTGTTTTTTGTGCATCAAAATGGTTGGTAACAAGTCCTTTATATAGGCATGTAACTGTCTTCTCTCAAAGATACAATCCTTTCAGCAAAGCATCTCTTTGTCTTAAAGACACCTTTGCATTTTGGAAAACACAATCCTTGGATAAAGGTATTGTTTCAATAATACTTTATAAAAGGACAATCATTCATTACATAAGACATAATCTTTGAGCTACAATTTGAAAAGTTATCTTTTTATATCCAAACTCTTGAACTGTGGTGCCTTTCAATTGTCTCATAACTTTTAAATTTAGAGGTATTTTTTCAACATGTCATTTTTCAAGAGACATAACTATTCATTTGAAAAACCCACCTATAATCCAATAGTCATACTATGTGACATAGCCTTTGAGCTAAGATAACTTTCCATATTAAGAGACAATCTTTTTATTTTGAAAATACATCAACAATTCCCACACCATTTTCAAAATTTTCAAATACCAACAACTTTAGGAATCTTGTGCATAAATAAAGGTATCCCGCAGATTTAAATCTTCACTTAATGAGTGTGGTTAGTTTTAGTTTAAATTGAAGGGTTTACCAAGCATTGAACTATTGATTTTTCATTTGAATAGTTAGCCTGCTAAACACAAACAAGCTTCCTTGCATAGTTTGTATCTAGTTCTGCAAACACGTTTTTTATGGCCTTGTGTTCTTGCATCCATTCATGAGTACTATTAAAGTCAAGCCTTTAATTGTTATAAGCAGCCATACTTCCACTCACATAGATAGACCCCATTGAAAGTACCTTGCAATTATAGTACTTTAACATATACATGTTATGGTCTTTTAAAAACTTTTGTTCAACCTTACTTTGCACATTATGGGAACCAAGCACTATACACCTTGAGATTAAAAATATAAATTATTGCTTTCAATCATCCATGTGGTAGAATGGTCAGTACTTAAGACTTGAAAGTTGACCATAAGCATTGAGGTGAGCTCTCACCATTGGAGATTTAGTTAATAGGCTCGAGACCCATCCCTCTTGAGGTTTTCATTACCAAGTCCTTTTTCAAACCTTTAATAAATGGATCCATTAAGTTTTCTCAAGATCTCATATAACTTATAGTGACTATACCATCACAAATTCTTTGTCTTACAATGCTATGTCGAAGTCCTATATGTAGACTATTTCCATTCTATGCTTGATTATCGGCTATGATACCTTTGCTTCATTGTCACAATGTATCAAGATTGGTGCCATTAGTTTAGGCCACAATAGAATTTTATAGAGTAAACTCTCAACCATTCCACTTCTTGGGTGGTAGATGCTAAAGCTATGAATTCAGCTACCATGGTGAAGTTCGTTTGACAAGATTGTTTCTTAAAACCCCAAGAAATAGAAGAAACAACACCCTTACCAATTATAAAAATCCAACCAGTCATAGAAGTATGATCCATTCTATTTAAATTCTAACTAGCATCTGTATACCCTTCTAAAACTAAAAGAAAACCTAAATAACAAATGCCATAATTCATTATAGTCTTTAAATACCTTAGAACTCTATGAAGAGTATGTTAATGTTCTTTTCTTGGATTACTTGTAAATCAACTTAGCATCCCAGTCGCAAAAACAATGTCTGGCCTTATACACAACATAGCATACATTAGGCATCCAATCACCCTTGCATATTCATTTTTGGATATTGGCTTGTCTTTATTAGGTACTAGCCTTAAATTAAAATCGTAAGGTGTAGATATTGACGTACAATTTGACTTTTCATACTTCATTACAATCTTTTTAATGTAATGAGATTGAGACAATGTTAGGCCATTATTGTCTATCATTATTCTTATACCAAGAACAACATCCATCACACACATATCTTTCATGCCAAAATTCTTTGACAACAACCTTAATGTGTCCTCCACTTGTTCCAAATTGGTACCAAAGATTAACATGTCATCCATATATAGACAAATGATGACACCTTTATCATTATGAAACTTACTATAGACACATTTGTTAGATTGATTGATTTTGTAGCCATTAGCTCTTACAACCTCATCAAACTTTTGATGCCATTTTTGAGGTATTTGTTTTAATCCATATCAGGACTTTATAAGCTTACACACTTTTTTCTTGACCTAAAAAGACAAACCCTTCGAGTTGCTCCATCTACACCTCTTCATCTAATTCACCATTTAAGAATGCTGTTTTAACATCCATTTGGTGAATTACCATCTTACGAATAGATGCAAGTGCTATAAGTACTCTAATTGTTGCTGCTCTTGCTACCAATGCATATGTATCAAAATAATCAACATCTTCCTTTTATTTAAAGCCGTTGATCACTAGTCTTGCTTTAAACTTATCTACAGTTTTGTAAACTTTTATTTTTTTTTTGAAAATCCATCTATAGCCTATTAGCTTGGAACTCAGTGAAAGGTCTACCAATTTCCAAGTTTTGTTTCCTATTATTGAGTCTATCTCACCTTGTATTGCTTTTCTTTAAAAGGAAGCAGCTTTAGACCTCATTGCCTTCTCATAAGTTTGAGGATTACCCTCACCTTATACATTAAAATAGTAAGATAAGTATTCACATGTTTTTTCTGTTGTACCTTCTACTAAGTACATGAAGAGATTGGATCCATATGTCCTTGCATTTCTAATTCTTTTTCTTTTTTGAAGCTCAATAAGTTCCTCACCATTTTCTAGAAGTTTATCATTTTGCTTTACTAGTTCTTTGGGTCTAGGAATTGAACTAAATCTTGTTTAATTAAAGATCACGTCCCTTGATTCTATGACAATATTAATAGAATATGAATCATTGGGTTCTATCACCATGAAACGATATGCTTTAGTATGTTCAACATAACCTATGAATATACATTCAATTTCTCCTTCACCAAATTTCCTTTTCCTTGGTTCAGGAACTTTTATTATGGCTCGACATCCTTAAACTCTTAAATAATTAAAATTTGACTTTCTTATTTTCCATAGCTCATAAAGAGTAGTTTTACTACTTTTATTTGTGATTCTATTTAATATATAGTAAGTCGTTAACAAGGCTTCACTCTAAAATCCTTTACCCAAACCTGAATTAGAAAACAAAGCATTGACCACTTTCACAAGAACTCGATTCTTATGTTCTGCTACACCATTTTGTTTTGGTGCGTATGGAGTGATAATTTCTTAAATAATACTAGTGGACTCGAACTACTTGGGATCATAATATTCACATCTTGTATCACTTTGTGAACATTTGGTAAGCAATTCACAGCACAATTCTATTTCATTGTTATAGATTCTAAACTTCTCCATTACTTTATCTTTAGCATGCAATAAAGTAAAATAGCAAGATCTAGATAAGTCATATGTAAATGTTACGAAGTATTTCTTTCCACCAACAAATGGAATGCTATGCATGTCACAAACATTGGAATGTATTTATGCAAGCAATTTGGAGTTTCTTTCTACCTTAGGAAATGAGCTTCTTGCGATTTAGTAACCATACATGTCTCACACATATAATTATTTCCATCAATATTACGTATCAACTCTAATTTGGCCATATCATGCATTCTTTTATAATGGACATGACCTAATCTATTCTGTCATAGATTAGACAATGATACTTCATTATCATAAACATTAAATGAAGCATCAATATAAGTAGAACTAATAACATTTTTATTAATATTAAGCTTAATCATGTCTTCATAGAAGTATCCACTTCCCACATATTGTCCACCTTTTATAAGGAAGAACTTATCTGCCTTAATTACTAATTTAAAGCCACCGAACACAAGATTCTTTCTAACTTTCAATAGATAATAGACATTGTTTAGTACAAATACTTTTCCAAAAGTAAATATGAGTTCCATGGAGCATTTTCCTTTCACTTGTGTAGTGGAGGAATTTTCCATGTATAATATAGTTCTATCAATAACCGCTTCCAAGGACTTGAAAAAACTCTTGTCTTTACATACATGCTTTGTTGCACCAGTGTGAATCCACTATGCTCCATCATCTTGAAGAATATTGACTTTGGAAATCACAACAACAAACTTGTCATTGTTCTCTCCTTATGTCTTGTATTCAAAATTCTACATTCTGTCTTGGAGTGTCAAGTTTGTTACAATGGAAACATGGACCTTTTTTTTTCCTTTTGATGTCATGACTTTTATCATTCATTCCAATCGAATGTTTTCTTTTGGTGTATGAAATCATCTTGTTTGATGGTTTGTGTTCCATTATATGAACCTTTGAAGTCTCAAGATTCTTCCCATTATAATCTTTTTCTGTTTTGTTTTGCTTGAGTTCTTATTGTTTGCAATAATCTTCTTCTATTTGAAGATGATGAATAAGGTCCTCGAGAGACATTTCATTTTTCTTATATTTTAGAGTTTTCTTAGTGTCTTTCCATGTAAGGAAAAATTTATTATAGAAGACATAACAATAACTTTATTCATATTATATAACTTCAAGCTATTAAGCATGTATTCAAGCCCATGAAATTGATTCATAAAAAAATAATTATTTATGGATGTGACAAAATACTTCTTTCTAGCCAATATGCATTTACTATGCATATCAAGCACAACATGATTCATGTCAAATAAAGAAACCTTATCTTATAATATGATGTAAGACCATTTTGCTACAAATGAATCTTGTCCATAGATTCTTCGTCAAAATGGTCCAACTTGACAATGTTGGTAGTTATCTCTTTTAGTGAAGTCATTTTAAATTCCAATGCCACAAAAAATAAGTCTTAAAATTGTTGTGCAAATGGGGATTAAATGGAATTCAAGGAATCAACAAAATTGACTTCGAGGTGAGACTTTCAATAAACATTATTGTAAAGACTTATGTTGCTCCCACCAATCAGTATGCAAAAAGGGAATTATACAAATAGTCTTAGGGATATAATAAAACTAACATCTAACTTTGTCTTTGAACTTTATGAAAGTAAACTGCTAGATACACTTGAAGGTTTGCAAAGTTGTTTGGCCTTAGAGCATGCTTTTTACAGCAAATAGATTATAAGGAATTTGAACTCCTTTCGTAAATAATGGGAACTTAAATGTTTATGTTTATTTCCAGAACATAACACTTCTCTTATTGTTGTCTTATTTGTTTTTGGTGTGTCAAAATAGTTAGCAGCAAGTCCTTTATATAGGCTTGCAAATGTCTTTTCTTAAGGACGCAATCCTTTCATCAAGGCATCTTTTTATCTTAATGGCACCTTTGCATTTTGCAAGACACAATCCTTTGGATAAAGGTATTATTTTAATAAGCATTGAACCATTCATTCCATAAGACATAATCTTTGAGTTATAATATGAAAAGTTATCTTCTTAAATCCAAACTCCTAAGCTGTGATGTTTTTCAATTATCATAGCCTTTGGATTTAGAGGTGTTTTTCCAACATGTCACTTTTCTAAAAGACATAGCTATTCATATGAAAAACTCCCCTACAAATCCAATAGTCATACGATGCGACATAGCTTTTGAGCTAAGATAGCTTTTCATATTAAAAGACAATTCTTTTATTTTGAAAATACACCAACAGGTGATAGATGTCTTTATAATGTAGAAAAGGAGTAGAATAAGGAAGAAGTTTGGTTCGAACATGAAACAAAAGCTAAAAAGGCTGTGTAAAAACTAAATGGGATATGACTTTTTAATCACAAGTTAAGTACATTGCAAACTAGAGGGATGTAAGTCATGTGACTCATTTTTGGTAAAGAAGTAAAGAATGGTAATAGGAAACTAAAGTTGGGGCAATAGAAAGGTTAGTAGTAATGAATTTTCTTAATAAAAGAATGAGGAAAACGTAACAGTAACATCCCGATTCTCAAAACACTACGACAGTCTCAATCATACACTAGGTATAAAAGACAAAATGGATTTCAAGTTAAGGGTAGAGGAGCTTAAGCTCATTTCAAAAGTGAAATTGAAAGAGATGTTGAAAAAGTTTGATTTGCTACTCTACAAGTATAAGTGTTCTTGGCATTAAAGTTGTGGTTTTAAAGGTTCCAAGGATAATACTTAATATCGTTGTACTATGAGGAATACCTCTATTTGGAGGACTAAATTGAAAAAAAATAAAAAGTTGAGGGTTGGAATTGTAAATAATGAAAAGTTAAAAGGTGAAGTTGTAATTAATAAAAAGTTGAAGGATCAAATTGAATATAAAAAAATTTTGGAAGACCAATGAGCAATTAACTCGTCTTTAAATTAGGGACAAATATATATATAATATAATATAAAAAAAGTGTAATGATGAATGAAAGAAAGTGGCAGACAAAACAAAAACCACTTTGTTTTATTCGCCAAGCTTTAAAGAAGTGGCGGACAAAACAAACACCACCTTGTTTTAAGCATTCCTTTAGGGAATTTGATAGTTAAAATTCTACCTATGAAAATATACATATTAAATAGATAGTATATTAGAAAGTAGAGTATTGATCTCTCAGATAATTATTCTAAAAATTTACTAAGTACGAAAATTAAAATAATTTAATTTTATTCAAACAATTAAAATTTGGATAAATAAATTAACTAAAAATTAATTAACAAAAACTAAAATAATTAACACTAATTAAAAATCAAAACAAAAAGATAATTGAATAAATATCAAATTTAAAAAGCTTAGGATTACAGTATCTCTCACGCGTCATCTAAGTCTTACCTTTCTCTTTTAACTTAATCTAATGGGTTGAATTGCTAACCTAGAGTCCTCAATTATTTATAATGCTCTCCCTAGTCTCTTATAAAAATATCTACTTTAACCAAAATACTATATTCCTATGTGAATTGAAATTCAAATAGACTCATTAAGTTTAGGCCTAATACTAGCTACATATGGCATATAGGTATATTTTTATCCTATACACAATTCAATTTATTCATCTAATTAAATAAATATGATCATATGCTATTCCAATTTTAGCTTACACTAAAGTCCATTCTCCAAGTTTGTTTAGTTTCGAAATTAATTTAATTGGTGGCTAGTCAATTAAAAGCATTAAGAACAAATTGGAATAAACAATTCTATCCCATTGAAAATAAGCAAAAAAGAGATTAAAAATTTAAACTACATGTGAGTTCAATTGTAATCCTAGAAAAAGAAATTTAGTTGGTCATAATTGTAAAAATAAATAAAAACATAAGAAGTTTAGTCATCAAGAGTAACAAGAATAATAAACGCTAAAGAAGAAAATAAACAAATTTTTGTAGCCTTGAGCTTCAATCTTCAATCTCAACTTTTAACTTCTTGAATCTCTCTTAGAATTTCTCCTCAGTGTGTGTTGCTAACTTCTCTTTAAACTAACTATTTATAATTGAAACTTAACCTAATTTTCCCTAAACTAAACTACTGTGGCCTAAAAATTCTTAATCTGGGCTTAGAATAAGTGTAGGTCCCAAGAGACTTAAGTTGACCCTTACAACTTTCTTTCTTGCCATCAATTTTTCAAAATTTCCTCTTCAATGCCACGACTCACCCCATCTAAGCCACAACGCTCCTTTTGTCTCATGTCTTCATCTCATTGACTATTGCACTTTATCAACTTCCAATGTGATTTCTCTCCATCTTCGAGGTAGGACTAGGAAAAGTGATTTGCATGAAAGTTGTAACTTTGTCTCTTAGCTTTCTAATGGTCCAAGAATTGCATTATTTGGATTTCTAGAGTTAGAGTTCTAGTTAAAATACCATGATATGTACAAACATGGCATAAGCTCCTTAAAAACCTTTCTTCACCAAATTGAGTCTTATAAAAACATGAAAACTAATAAATAATAGCTAAACTAAGATAAATAAATATAAAATTAAAATAACTTAATAAAAACAAAGCAATTAGAAAATTAACTAAAAATAACAAAATTCTCGCCTAAAGTTAAGAACTTAGCCAACTTTTACGAATAATTTGGGATAAAAATAATTTTATAAAATAGAATTATCACACTCCCAAGTTTAAGATTTTGCTAGTTCTTGAGAAAAATAAAAGAAAACAAAGAAACTTAATGATAAGAATTTTTCAAAGATAACAATTCACCAAGTTATGATTTCCTGATTTTTCTTTTGAAATTATCTCACAATTTTAACTTAAGGTAAAATACAGTTGATCTTCAAATTCATGCATCAATTCAAATGAAAGCTCACTTTAAAATGGACTTTCTAAGAAACATAAGAGATGCTTCCAAGATCAAAAAAAGCCCAAAGATAGCAAAAACTCTCTCCGTACTTCTTGCACTTTACTTCAATCCTCGTAATAAAATTAAGCACTTCATCTTGTATCATTCAGATAAGGTTAGTGATCATATGTACTTCTTTATTTCTATTATCCTTGATTACTTAAAATGTGCGAGTCATTCTAAAGGGATTGATTAAGCTTAGGTTAACTTGATTGAGTGTATAGGTTATAACTCAACCTAGAAAAAGTTAGTTTTAGGTTTTAGTTGATCTCGAAAAAAAAACCATTGTTAAAAGTTGTGGCCGAGCTTATGAAAAGTCATTGTAAAAGTTTGGTGAAAGCTTGAGAATTTCACCGTTCATAGTGATTTGGTTTGAAAAATCCTTGGTTGAACAATCAAGGTGGTGGATGTAGGTCTTTGACCGAACTACTATAAATCTTTGTATATTGTTTGCCCTATTTTATTTTTTATTTAATTCTTTGTTAAATCATTCCTTCATCTTGCATTTAACTTCACATCATTAATTTTTAACTTACCCTCAAATAGAAGTCAATCTAAGTAAGAGCCAAAAAGTGTTATTCACCCCCCTCTAGCACATTTATTTGGGACCAATAATATATACATTTTCAAGTTAAAAAAAACATATGTTAGTTGCTATTTCTCAATTTTTCTTCTTTCTATTTTACTTTTATACCACGTTTTCTTTTATTCGATTACCTTTGAACCAAGGATAAAATTCTACTTCCTTGGCACAAAACCAATAAAGCATACTAAGCATAACCTATGTTTTCCTTGATAAGATAGCAGGGAACTAAAGATAATAACCTATTTGCTTGATGCATTATCTACAACATGATATCAGAGCTTCACTAATCTTAAGGGAGTTAAAAACAGCACTTTAGCCTTCACCAAACTTGCAAAATAACTCTTTGATGCTATAAATCGAAACCTTGCAAATGGTCTTATCCAACTTCACACACCAAACATCTCACATCTTCAATGCAAAATATTATTCCATTTGGTTAATAAAAAGGAATACCTACCTTTGAGCATTTGATCTATAAGAAGTTGTTTTGCAAAGAAGGGAACCTTATACATTTAGAGCTAACCCCATAATAGCTTAAATTAAATAGCATAGTGAAAAGGTGGTTAAAAGAATGAACGTATTATCATGCATTCATTATGTAGCGATAGACGAAATCTTCACTAGGATAATGACTTGCAAGTTTGCAAAAGAAGCCTAGGACAAGCTTATGGAAGAGTTTCAATTCTTTGACAGAACAAGACAAATGCAAAGTCTCGATCTTATAAAAGAATTTGAAGCATTAAAGATGAAGGATTATATTAACAAATTCATGAAAATTGACAACCAAGCGAGTTTATGGAGAAAAGAAATGCCAAAAAAAAGAATTGTTAGCCAGGTGTTAAGAAAATTAATTGTGCTTTTTATTTTGAGAATTGATATATCAAAGTTCATAGTTGTATTTTTTTTAACTTCAAGAATTAATTTATAAATGAGAATGCTTGTTTTTTGTGCAATAATTTTTTTTTTGATAAGGTTATGTGTAATAATTTGTTTTATGATGAATGATATTTATTACTAATTTGTATGGAATAAGTATAATAAATGTATATAGTTTATAAACATCAACAATGTTAATAAATAAATAATATATATTCTTGTTAGTATCAATTCTTTACTATTTTAGAGAGGGTCATAGGTCTTGTTAAAGACAACAATTAATGAAGTCCATAATGACTTCTTTTAAAGGTGAAGAATTAAAAGAAAGCAATTTTTGACCCTCACCAAATTTGAGCCATTTAGGGAGGCCTAATGGTGGCTCTCACTAGCTGTTCACTTTTAATAAGGGCCAAATTTGAGCCATTTAGGGAGGCCTAATGGTGTCTCTCACTAGCTGTTCACTTTTAATAAGGGTCAATGTCACTTGCACTAAAATGGCACAAATAGCTAACATTTGTTGTAACCCCTTTTTATCTTTAGTTCTCTCTCCTTCATTTCTCTATAATTCATCCCAAATTTTATCCACCAAATGTCAACAATATCCTTAAAAAAGTTAAAAATTCCTGTCGTCACTTGTACCTCAACTTTCATTGTATCTTTTATGTTAGATGTTAGAAGTTAGATTTATATGCTCCCATTTTAATTGTTTGGTAAATTTATCAAGTCCATTTAGATACAAAATATGGTTGTGCATCTTTTTAATTATGGGCTTCCAGTCAGTATTCTGTTTGGGCCTTTACCGATCTCTTGCCAAATAAACGATGAAGGCCCTTGCGTAGAACTTAATTTACTTGTTTACCCCGCAAACATGGCCATTCCGCAGACAAATTTCCAGCCACTGATTTAAGCTTACACAAGTTACACCCATTATCTTAATCCGTTCTCATTTTCCTTGCCCTTTTTTTTTGGGGGGGGGGGGGAACTTTATTATCCCTTTGTCAATATTGCATAGAAAGGCGAACAACAACAACAAAGAATCTTATCTGGCTCAACAAGGAAAAAGTCCCAAGTGAGATGAGGCTGAAGAACTTCCTTTTGTGCATACCTCGTCAAATATATTTCTGCAATCTATAAATCCTTCAGTTCAATGGCCTGACCCAACACCATGGCCTGAACAATTCCACGCACTTCTTTGCATGACTTTGTACTCCGGTGGTCACCAAATCACTGACCTCTGGTATGACTGGCCAAAAGGCCGCAATGTTAACCTCCAGCAGAAGCAACTTGGGGTGTTTATGTACGACATAGAGTGGAACAATGGCACTTCGTTTTACTACACTCTAGGCACGAATGGCACATGCGAGATCGTTGATTTTGGGGTTGGCATTCCCAGGCCCGATTTTCTTGATGGGGCTAATTATTTGGGGACTGAAGTCAAGGATGGGTTCCTTTGTAACGTGTGGGGAGAAAGTGGATTTCATCTGGTACTATGAAGATGTTGCTACTAAGAGGCCAGTTCGATGGGATTTCTATGATGGTACGTGATTCTTATTTGTTTCTTATATGAGATCAGTTTCAATTTTGAAAAGTGATTAGGTGTAGTTCTCTTTTCATTTAATTTTTTATAAATACTTACATGCACTTTGTTATGACGATGCAAACGTTGATTGTATAAGCATTCAAGCGATTTTCCTTTCTTATTTTTCTTGGCTAGAGAGGTTTTCCTTGATAAAGAAGAAATTTGAAGACAGTTTGCTCTTTCTACATATAATTAAAGCGGGCAACCCAACAAGCCAAACTGAATATATGAATACATAAATGTTAATAATAAAATTTCATTCGGTCCAGTTAAAAAACTATATATATTTATTATAAATAATTCATTTGCTTCGGTTCTGTAAAATTTTTGACTTTCACCGCTGAAACTAGAAATCATAGATTAAATAATTTCAGGTTTGCAGCACAGCTCTTGACGTATTTGCATGTTTCTTTTACAGGTTTTTTTTTTTTATGTTTCTTTTACAGTTATGCAATATGTGTGTATGTATGTGTATATATATATATATATATAGACTCAATAACAGGAAAATTTTTCAGGAATAATAACACACGTGATGACATTTGAAGTTGGAGCAACTCTGCCAGATTCAACCGTCCAAGCACCTGAATATTGTTTCACTACCCAAAAAGATGTCTGAACTACAAAAGTATAGATTATATATAGATTGAGATATTCTATCAGCTGCTGAAAGACGAAAGTTCATGCCTATGCTCCATTGATGATGAATCTACTTGTATGTTGTTTAAAGGAACTGTAAGGCACTTTGATAAGCTTTTCTTGGATCCAAAATACAAACAGGCATAGATTGAAAGGCTAGAATATTATAGTTGTAAAATGGAGTTGCCAAATTGTTTGAGAGTAAAATCTTAATCAAATTATTGAGTTTTATTGAATAAGTGGTGTCTTTTATTTTCTTTACTTTTTTTCTTTTTTGGTTCCTTCATTGAAAGATTGCAGTCTCTACAAATGTAAAACCAGTTAGCAAAACCTTTATTACTTGACCCTTAGAAACATTTATTCTTTGCAAGCCTGCAACGTTATAAATTAACCAGAAGAAAGAGAGGGCGCATTTTCACTAATACTCTGCTCAAAGCTGCTTCAGGGACAAAAGATGACCCTGTAGTTTGTTCCACCAGGACGGGCGTGAAGGTGCTAGTTGGATCAATCCTTGGGGCAGCTATAAGCGTCAAGGCATCTCTGCTTGTAAAATCCGGAGATTTCTGTCGGCCTACAAGTCCCTGAGTCGCAACAATATTGGCCGGCCTTGACAATCGTGCATGGATTGCACCCAGATGGGGCTCTAAGCAGGTTTGGGCACTGCCCATTGATGTCAGTAGTGCATCTGAATCCACGGCACCTTGCCAGATATTGGGCTAAAGTCCTTAGGAACATTGAACCCATCAACAAGCCAGATGTCGAAAGAGACAGGCTGTAGAACTGATTTAAAGCATATTCAGCTAGTGTGTTTGGGGGCGAACAACAAGCCTGGCATTCTAGGAGCCCATTGCAAAAACCTGTCTCGCACCGGCCACGACCTGATGCGTCGAAGGTCCACTTGGTTCAAGCCTATATTCGAGCTTGTGCTGTTCCGGGCCTCGCGCTCATCGTCCATTCTTGGCTTCGGTTGTGTTGGCGACCTGCACCACGAACTGCTGCTGCCCATACTGTGAAGGGCACTGATTTCGGATCTCAAAAGTGGCAGCCCGAGTCGAGGTGAAGAAAAGGTGATTAGAAAGAAAAGCAGCATGAGAGGCATTTAAAACAGCCCATGATGTAAAAGCTGAAAGAGTGATTCTCGTTAATGTTCTTTCCAAGGTTGGCATATATATGGGTTTAAAAGGGAGGGTCATTAGCGGATATGAATTAAGGTTGCCAAATCGTGGTACGTGATTAGTCATAGGTATCCAATACTCGTATGTAATTAGGTTTAAAATTAAGCCCTATACACTCTAATTGGTAGCTAGGCTTAACAGAAACTTTAATTGAGCTCATGGTATAAGTACAAGTAATTGAGAATACGCATCCATTTGTAACTTCTCTAACATAAACCTAATATCTTTTGCTTTTTAAATCTCACTCAATGTATAACATTCATTACGAAGGATCAATGGAGATAATCTTTTCGTAATAACATAAAATTTCAATAAATAAAAGTTACTTTCCCGCAATTAGTTGCGTAAACCGCGGACTTTTAGACAAATTTTGCAATAGTTATTCACGGATAAGAGGATAAAACCTTGTTGGAAAATGGAAATTTAAGAGGGTGATGCAATTGGGCTCGACTTCAATCTTTATGAAATTCAAGAAACGTGGCTTCTCACCTCATTCGCATGATACATATTCCTTTCTCCCTTTCTTTCCGGATTAATACATGCAAATGCAACATTAATTGTTATAAATTATGTTCACAATCAATTTGAAAGTATTAGGTTTAAATTATAAGTTAAAGTAGAGAATTACTTCAATTGTGTAATTTAATATAGATTTATATTTGATATATTATCAATATATAATATTTATACGTTATTATTTAACTTCATAGAACCATATTGTGTATATATAAATTAAAATTAAAAAATTTATTAAAATAATATACATATTATTAAAAATTAACTTTTATGTAATGTAATAATTACATGCCAAAGACAAAAAGGAAGTGAAAAATGGTATCCTGTTAAATGGCTATCCATACATGGCAGTACCTTAATTTCCAATGGGAAAAGATGGGTGGAAAATTCTGATTCACCACATATTCATTCACATAAAGTAGACTTGCACTCATAAATTAATATGATCTCAATCTACTTCCATTCGTGCGTTTCAGAATCAGAACTGAAAAACATAATATTTTTGAAGAGTGAAAAGAAGATAAATTAAAACACATATGTGAAAATGTCAATTAGGAACCAAAGAAAATAGTTGCATTATCAGCTAGCATGAGCAATGCCCAGATTCCAGAGGTACTCACCATGGCCAGGCTTGAGAAAACCCTGAACATCCATCCATCTTTATTCTAATTTTAGGAGTAAATGGTTAACTCTGCATGGTCGAGCTTCGCAAAAACCACCAGATGATATTCTAAAGATCCTTTTTCGGTTTTGACCAATCATTAAGTACCGTAGTTCATATGTTGTTTATATTTCTTTTTCTCCTTAATTATTGCATTCCATCGATCTAGCTACATCTTCTCTTCCTTCAATATGTATAATGTATGCATGGTGCAGCAGACGAATGGAGGAGAAACAGATCCAATCTAAAAGATTGAACAGCGTCAACATTTCCAAAATTTTTTATCATTTAAGCACTATAATTAAATATTTAGTATTTAATTAATAAGTTTTGCATGTGCTTATGCTTCGGTGGTTCATAACAGACAGCAGCCGTTATTTTTCCCTCCCAAAATCAACGACCCTGGCTGGACGTCATCGCGTCAGCAATTTACGAAATCCTACGACTTCATGATGAACAACGTGGCCCAATCATATATTGGCTGCAACTGTTGATTACCGCACAGAATTGCACCCAATGTTTCGTTGCTTCTCTCTCTTCTCTCTATTCTGTCTCCATTTCGATTCGATTCGATTCCCAGGAATATATTAGAAATCACCTCCAACCAAAAAAAGGGGGATAGTTTCAGCCTTTGCAATTCTCTCCCCTCTACTTATCGAAATCTCATTTCAGCCCCTCACGAAATCTCAACTCCTCTTGCAAACAGGCTCTCTCCTTTTGTGCAGGGAGGAAAATCGAAGGGGTGCTGCTTCGCAGATCTGATCCAAATTCATGCACTGAGAGAGTAATTTTATTTGTATTTAACGAGATGGGTATACTTTTTACAAGAATGTTCTCTTCTCTCTTTGGAAACAAGGAGGCTCGGATCCTTGTTCTCGGCCTCGACAATGCTGGCAAAACCACCATTCTTTGTATAGTTTCTCATTCTTTTTATGTTTTTAAGTGAGACCCATTTTAATATCAGGATTTATGAAATGGGTGTTTGCTATTTTTTGATTATTTTGTGCTTTTCGTTTTGGGGTTTTTGGTTGCAGATCGGCTTCAGATGGGTGAAGTTGTCTCCACAATTCCAAGTTAGTTTTCCTTTTTCCATTTTCTTTATTTCTTTATGTTTGAGAAAAGAAATTACTGAGCATTTGATATGCTGTTATCACTAAAAGTAGGGAAGTTAAGATTTGCACTTAGCAAATCAAAGGTTTCTTTTATATTTAAGAATTGGTTTTTGATTTGTTTTCTTCTGCATGGTGCAGCAATTGGATTTAATGTCGAAACAGTACAGTACAATAACATCAAATTTCAAGTTTGGGATTTAGGTATGCCTACCAGTACTTCCTGATCTAGATCTTTAACATGTATAGTAGAGTTGTTATAGCAATGTCCTGCCAATTTGATTATATTTTCATATCGATTTGATTGTTTAAAGGTGGAATAAATGAGAAAATTTGGCATCAAATGTATATTCAAATTAATTAAAAAACATCCTAATCATCAAAACTTATGGTGAAACAGTTAATATTCCAAGAATTCGAAGCTTCATAGTTTTGTATATCAAAGCTTTGACTGGAGATAATTAATACTTATGTTACCTTAACCTCAATAGCATAAAGTAGCTGGATCTGGCTTTCAATCCACAATTTACATGATTCTTTTGCCTTTTGTCAATATCTTTATGTATCTGTTTTAGGTTTCTTATCTGAGAAACCAGCATAGTAAGTAACAACTTGAAGCATATTCAAGAGAACTGATGACAATTTATAATCAGAGCATTACTTTGTTAAAGCTGGATGAAATAAAATTTACTTATTTGAGACATCTGTCTCAAAACTTAAGAGAAACCAGAACAAATGAAACTTTCCTTTGGCTGCCAATCCAAGCTTTATTTCTGCAAACCTACATTGAATAGGTTTTTCTTTTCTGATGCTAATTTGCCGTTATTCAAATTATCAAGTCATGGAATTTTAATCCCATAGCAGTAAACTGAAATTGAATATCTTGTCTGGTAATTTTGCTTTCTTTTATTAGTTTTAGCCATTTAATTGTTCAGAACATAAGTGATGTCTGACTTCTTGTCCTGATGACATCGTTATCATTTACTGATGCAGGTGGACAGACTAGTATTAGGTAACTTTTCTAAACATGCAACTTTTTTCTTTATTTCTTGCATTATATTATTTTCATTTTGTGTACAGGCAGCTGTTTTTGTCACCCAACTTAGAAAAATAATGTTTTGATCACCAAGGTTTTTAAGTGTTAATGTTTTTGTTACTAAGCCATTAAAAGATAATAGACCTCTCCCTTATAATTCCACACAACAATCCACCCTAGCTACTCTGGCACATGATGAGGAAAAAAATTTTAGTTCTTCTCTTTTAATTTTTTATTGCCACGTGGCAAAGCAGCTAACATGGAATGCCATGTGGAAGAGTTGTTATCTTCTTATGACTAAGTGACCAAAATAATAACACCTTATAAATGTTGGTGACCTTAACATTATTTTTCAAAGTTGGGTGATCAAAACAGAAAGTCTGGAACAGTTAAGCGATCAAAAAGGTAATTTAATCAAAATTAATGTGATGTATGGAAAAAAATAAGTGTTAGGGTTTACAAATAGAAAGAGGACAAAGTTGTGAGACATTCGAAAAGAAAATGGACATTCAGCTTGGGACTAAGCTAGTAATGAATTTTATTGGTATTGTGGAGTGCTTCCCTTTATACTTATGCTGCTACTTGAAGCGAATGTAGGACATGCATGGTTGGATATTTATAGATTTATATTTCTGTTAAATTTAATCGGATTAATTATCGCTAAAAATATCTAGAATGAAGATCTTTAAAAAGCTGCAAGTTAGTCTAAACTACCTTAATCACTGTGTCTGTGTGTGCGTGAGAGAGAAAGAGAGAGAGAGGGAGAGAGTGAGAGAGTATAAAAGACTGCTTTTTCTGTACAATCTGAACCTAGGTTTATGCCTATGGTTTATTAACATTTAAATGTTTTTAGAAATGACTTTGTGTTTTTCTTTCTTACTTTACAGCAAACTGATTTTGAGTCTGTCATGGCATTTCAATGTTGTGTTAATGGAATTATTCTCTTTATACCACTCTTGTAATTAGGAATTGTGATGTTATTGATTAGCATTATTCCAGGTTATTTTAATGTCTAAAATTTGTGAAATAAAATAATATTTTGCATCCTATGGTGTATTTGTGCCAGACAAAAAGATCGCTCATTCTATTTGATTTTTAGCATGTGACTTATGTTGTTTCCCTATAATAACTTAATCAAATAGTGCTCCCAGCAATAGACCACCAGCCTAGTTTCTTATTTCCTTTTGCACTACAGGCCATATTGGAGATGCTACTTTCCAAATACTCAGGCTATAATCTATGTTGTTGATTCAAGTGATACTGATAGGCTGGTGATTGCTAAAGAAGAATTTCATGCAATCTTGGAGGTAAACTCTTTAAGTTTTATTCATCATATTGGCTGTACTGTACTAGCCTTTCTCTGTAAAACATCCTATATTCTTGCTATGATCCATCTTAGAAATATTCCGTGCTGTGAAGATAACATTTAAATCATTGCCCTGTAAGGTTCGAGGTCCAATGTTGGAATTGTTGGATTTTAGAAGTTTGACCAAAAGAAAGAATGATGCATGGAAATGCTCTATTGTCTTTCTGCCCTCGCCTTTCTCTCCCCTGAATGTTATTTTACTTACAGAATTTACTTCAATTTTTAAATGGTAGTTCAGGTTGTTATAGACTTATAGCCTTGCTGTATTACTTTTGCCTTTTCTGTATTTAATTTATTTATGTCAAAGCAGATTCAGAGGACTTCTTTATCTTTTTCTCATCTCCCGTGAAAGGAAATAAAGCAAACCTCTTTGAATAGTTTACATTAAGAGGGCTATCAATTAAGAGGACTTGTTTATGCATCTGCAATCAACTTCTTTTGCTTGGTGTTTACATTGTTCTATTTATTTGTCAATGCTTGTTTATATATTTTATCATGCTTCTTCTTGAATAGTTTCAAGTCTGAGTCTTTTTCAGGAGGAGGAGCTAAGAGGAGCAGTAGTTCTTATTTTTGCGAATAAGCAGGTTGGTGCCATTCTTTTTCTTGGGGCTACTGTAGAACTAATATTTTGCTTTTCTTATGTGTGACATTGAGAGAAAGCTGATTATGTGCATGGTATTAGAAGCCCTTATTGAATGTGCCCATGCAAAAGGAAGTGATATGCCGTTTCTTATGCTGCATTGGGAGCATAAATTTGAGACTGAATTTGGAATTTGTTTGCCATACACATTCTGAGCATGATTGTACACATTATGTTTAAAGTAGTTATGAATATCATTGTTCTATGAATTCTATTGCTCAAATTAATAGTACTAAATTTGTAATCCAAATCCTTTATTTCAAATTTAAGTTGCCAAGTACAATGTTAAAAATATTTAGCCAAAAAAAGAGGAATGACTGTTTGATTTAGTGATCAAAGATTGTAAGCCTCTTTGACTATTTTTTATTTATGATTTTTTCTTGTAATTATTTATGTCATGTTTTTGGTTTATACAGGATCTTCCAGGTGCACTTGATGATGCTGCAGTGACCGAGGCTTTGGAGTTACACAAGATAAAAAACCGCCAATGGGCTATTTTTAAAACTTCAGCAATAAAAGGGGAAGGTCTTTTTGAAGGCTTGGACTGGTAAGATTTGTGTCACTTCTAATTCATGTTATCCTTGAATTTTCTTGGTAAAATTGCCCCTCGAATCCATAAAATTCAGCAATTACAAATTGCTCACTTTGCAGCCTATGCTATGATGATTTTTTTTTTTCACGAATTTATTAACAACTTCAAACTTCAGTATGTCCATGTTCTGTGCATCTTTTCAATAATAGAAAGAAGTTTCGAGTAAATCTATCCACTGCTTGAACAATTATCATTTTTAAACACTAATTGAGTTTTGAGTCATTGTTTATGCACATTGATTGGTTCATGAACACTACCATCCCATCAAGAAGGTAATAAGGCATGTAAATGGCTACTTGCTCTTGTGATGTTCTGTTTCATTATGTTCACCTTTAGGAGACATGTTTTGGCCTCTGCGGATTGATGGTTGAATGAAATCCACTGAACTAGTTAGCACAAGTAGCAATGTCAATAGAAACAAAACTGAAGCTTTTTCAATTCTCTTTGCCTGTTAGATCTTTGTTTTGAAGTCGTAAGGGAATTCATTTCTCATCATTGTAGGTTGAGTAATACACTTAAATCTGGAAGTGGCTAACTCTTGGTGAGAAGAAACAAAGCTTGCTGCTATGTGATCAGGCCAGAGGGAGGAATGGGGGAATGGTGTTTGCTTGGTATGATCCGGTAGAACTTTGAGTCGTGGGCATTGTTGGTAATTGACCTTCCTGAATTTTCTGCTTTGATTTTTTGGGTAAACCTCTGGTGTACATGTAAAATTTTTGTTAACGGTAATCATTTTAGTCTTAATTTTCTTACATTTTGTACCTTCCCCTTCCCCACTTGAGAACTTTCCCGAGTTGGACATTCGGCATGGACCTGCTAATGCTTATTTGTTGGCTTAAATATGAAAGAAGTCCCTGAACTTAATTAAATCTTACACTTGAGTTTCCACTTTTTTATCACAATCAATTGAGTTATCGGGCAATTATTTTCACGTAATTAAATCTCTATGCGGATGAAAATGGTAGCCTTTGTTAGCTAAATGGCAGCGTTGAGTTTTGTTTTTTTTTTGCCACGGGACAATGTTGACGTGGGCAATTACCCACATGGAAATTGATGTGCTCTACGTTTGTTTCTCTTCTTTACATTTTGATCACATGACAATCAATTTAACGTGACATTTTTGTCTTAATTTGTAAAAGGAGTTGGTGTCCAGGTTTTTCGTTGGCATAAGGTTTTAATTGAAAATGAGTTGTTGTCCATGTTTTTCATTGCCATAAGGGTTTAATCGAATGTAAATAATTGTATGAGAAATTAATTGGTTGTAATAAAAAGATAAAAACTCAAAATGATTCATTTAATTAAATTGATGATTCTCCTTGTATCTAAACTCTAATTTTTCTTTTGTTTACCATTTTTGAATTTTATTAGGTCATCGGTTAAACTCTCAACTCTTTATAATAAATAAATAAATAAACTGTCAACTTTGCATTTCGGCAAGTTGACAAGTTGAATTAGATTTCGGTTGGGTTGAATTGTTCTAAATTTTAATAGTTTTCGGTTCATTGTGCATATACTTTTTTAGAATTTAATAAAATCTTTAGTTGTACAACAGTTAAAAAGATTTGAAAAAAACTTAAAGTTATTCATAAAGGGATATCACAAGTAAAGAAGTCCAAAATTATTTTATCCATAATTATGAAATGTTTAAAATGAAACAAGGTAAAAATGTCATTACCATGTTTAATAGGTTTACCAATATTACAAACAAACTCAATCAACTTGATAAAACCATTCGTGAACATGAGTTAGTAAAAAGATTACTTAGATGTCTTCCCAATAGTTGGAAATCTAAAGTCACAGTTATTCGAGAGGCCAAAAATCTCAATGTGGTCATACTTGATAAAATTTGTAACCCATTGTTTTCACATGAACTTGAAATGAAAGAAGAAAAAAGAAGGAAAAGAAAAAAGCCAAAGAGAAGAAGAAAAATTTAGCACTCAAGATTAGTTTACTTGAGGAATTAGAAGAACTATCAAGTGATGATAATGAAGAGAAAACTATAATGGCTTGATGATTTAGAAAGCTATTGGGACAAAAAGGCAGAAAGTTTGGAAGAAAAAATTACAAGATGGATCAAAGTCCCTCTTAGAAAAATAAGCACAAATGTGATTTCAGCAAAAAAAATGAGATGGTGTGTTTTAAATGCAAAAAACTAGGATACTTCATATCAGAATGCTTATTGCTCAAAGAAAATGAAGAAACCAAAAAGAGCAATGGTGGAAGCAACATGGTCTAATAGTGATTCATCAAGTTCAAAAGAGGAAAAAGAAAAATTGAAAGAAAGAGCCAATTTCTGCTTGATGGCTAACGAAAAAAAAATTGAGATAACTTTTAATTCATGTGATATTTTTTATGAAGATTTGCAAGATTAATATGACTGTCTATATGTTGAATTTGAAAATTTTGTTTTAAATATAAGACTATGAAGAAAAAGGTTGTTGTAATGAATGATGAATTAGAAAAAAAATAAAGCATGAGTACCACTATGTTTTTGATCAAAGGAACATGCTTCAAATTGAACTAGAACAATCCAAAACTGATTTTGAATTCTTGAAACTTGAATTGGAAAGCAAAAGATTAGAATTACAAAGAGTTATTGATGAAAATGCTGCACTTAAAGTTAATAAAGATAAAGGATTGAAATTGAAATGAAAAGATGAAGAAGGGTTTAAAAAAAAAAACAAGCTTAGAAGGAAAATTAATGCTGTCTCATGTCACTATTATGTGTGTAGTAGGAAAAGTTGCTTGTCTTATGAATGTTTCCATTCTAATAGTATCTTTTTCCAGTCTAATAGTATCTTTCCTAGAACCAAATTGGTTTAGGTTCCAAAAGAATCCCATGTGATTGCTAACCTTCAAGGACCTATCAAAGTATGGGTACCTTTAAAGAAAAACTGAAAATCTGTTTTGTAAGTTGAGTAAAGACAAAAGAATCAATGCTTTGAAGCTCAACTAAAGAAAAGACAGCCTTGGTACTTTGATAATGGTTGCTCGAGACATATGGCCAGCAATGAAAACTTATTTGCTAAGCTTGATAAGAAGAAGTGTGGTAGTGTTTCTTTTGGTGATGACTCCAAGGGTATTATCCAAGGAATTGGAACCATTGGTAACACATCTCAAACATAGATCAAGTATGTCTTATTTGTTAAAGGTTTAAAACATAATTTGCTAAGCATTAGTCAACTTTGTGATAGAGGTTTTAGAGTATGCTTTGATTCTCATGCAAGTCAAGTAATTGATGTTAACACTAATGAAGTAGCATTCATTGGCAAAAGAATTAAAAATATGTATGTCGTTTTCCTTGATGAAATTAAAACTAGTGAATCATGCTTTATTGCCAATGATGTTTGTGATAGTTGGTTATGGCATAGAAGGTTAGGACATGCTAGTATGCATGCAATTTCAAAATTTTTAAGAAAAGTCTTGGTCATTGGACTTCCAAAGATTTCATTTAAAAATGACAAGGTTTGTGATGCATGCAATTTGGGAAACAAGTTAAAAGTTCCTTTAAATCCAAGAAAGTCATAACAACTTCTAGGTCACTTGAACTATTACATGTGAACTTGTTTGGACTAATTAGTATTGCTATTCTAAGGGGCAAGCCATATGGCTATGTTATTGTAGATGGTTACTTTAGATATACATAGGTATACTTTCTTGCTCATAAAGATGATGCATTATCAATTTTTGTTAAAAATTGTAAAAGAGTTCAAAATGAAAAAGACTTCACCATTAATAGTGTTAGGAGTGATCATGGTGATGAATTTGAAAGTAATAATTTTGAAATTTTTTGTAATGAATATGGTTTTGATTACAATTTTTCTGATTTTAGAACTCCACAACAAAATGGAGTTTTTGAAAAAAACCATTAATGGTACTTGTCAATTTCATGGAAACGTGCTTGTGTCTTGGTTTTGCAAGAAGCAAAATTCTATTTCTCTATAAATTGTTGAAACTGAGTATATATCACTAAGTAGTTATTGTGCACAAATTCTATGGATTAGGCAACAACTAAATAGTTTTGGAATGGCTATGCATAGAGTTCCCATTTATTTTGACAATATGGGTGTCATAAATATCTCCAAAAACCCTGTTCAACACTCTAGAATCAAGCACATTGAAATTAGACATCATTTCATTTGAGATCATATGCCTAAAGGAGATATTGAGATAGATTTTGTGGACACCTTGCATCAATTAGCTGACATTTTCACAAAACTATTGAATGAAGAAGAATTTTGTAGAATTAAGAGAGATTTAGGGATGATTAATGCTAGTGAAATCTGAATTATGCTAAAGTGATGATATTTTTGATCATATATATATATATATTGCATGATGAAAAAGTCTATTGCTTGGTGTAATTCATTAGTGAATTTTTTTGGTTAGTTGAAAGACCATACATGAAAGATAAAATTCATTCTAATCAGTTAATGATTTCTCTAATAAATTAAAACAATTCTGTGTTATGGGAATTAACCTAAGTTAGTTAGGTAATAATCAATTAGCAACTCCCTTAACCGATTAGTGCAAGTCTGGTAGTTGAAGTACTTCCAAGTCAAAAACATTGTAATCGATTAGGCCTTCCTCTAATTGATTAAAAGACAATTGTGAAAGAGAAAAGGTATTGCATGGGAAATTTTCAAAAAAAAAAATAGGTAGGTGGTACGAGATAGGTCCCACTCAAAACGTGAGTAACTAGTTATAACTCCCCATTAAAGACCCCCCCACCAATTGAGTGAATCAGTTATATTGAAAATTAAATACCCAAAAGACTTTAGATTTTCTTCTCCATATTTTTCTCAAAAACCCAGGACACCTTAAGAAGGAAAAACCCATGGCAAAAACTTCTTTCACTCACAAGGTAGCCGAAATGGGGAAAGGTAAAAGGAAAACTGATGATTCTTCATCACATTTTCCTAAAAAGAATAGAAAAATCAAAAGACATTTAGCAAATAAGAAAAAAGGAAGCAAAAAGAAAATGACAGAGAAAGAGAAAAGATCGACATATGCAAGAGCTACAACAGGGAAAAGTACTGGTTTTTCTTTTCTCAACTTTAAAATGACATACATGCTGATAGATTTAGGAGAATCAAGAATGCCACAATTTCCTATGAAAATATTTTTGATTGGGATAACTTTAATGATTCATAAAGAGTAAAAGCAGATTTGGAGGGATATTTTGAATCTCTGAACTTAAGATATATGAGTACATTTAGGGATAGAATGTATAGTTCTACTTTGATTAAGGAACTATATTTCAATATAGCTATTGACAAAACTAAATTGGAAGAAAAAGAGGAATTTGCAGAGGATAGATTAAATGTGTTTTTAAATGGTGAGATTTTTAAATTAGTGCTCAGGATTTACGAAAATTCCTTAAAACCGAATTTGAAATAGAAGAATACAAAATGCCAAAGAAATATGAACCGAACCATCTATGGGAAGTTATCATTGGAAAGAAGGAGAAGTTTCTTTTAAGAAGTTATGCTAGTGACATCAAAAATGCTTAGCTCAGAATTCTTCATTTTTTCATAGCAACTACTCCCATGGAAAATGTACTAGCTTTAGTTATGTGAGTGCACAAGATTTATGGCTAATGAAGACTGTCTTCAATGAAATCCCATTGAGTGTAGGAAGATACATGGTGGAAAGGATAACTACACTCAAGATAAAGCAAATCTGTTGTACGGCAATATCCTTACAACCTTAGTAAAAAAGAAGGGAATTTGGAATGAAAGATTTCAATTTGATCTCATGAAGAACAAAGATCAGGGAACATTTTTGGGTAGTGTACTAAAAATGGGGTACAAGATAGAGAGGAATGAATGTATTAAGATCACAAAAGGTACATCTCTGTCCCCTCCAA